TGTGTGTGTGTGTCTGTGTGTGATATATATAGAGGAAGAGGGCACACGCAAGCAGAAGGAAAAAGGGAGCAGACTGCAGGGGTTAATAACACGCACATATGCCACATGTATAAATCATCTCTGCGCGCCATTGTGCGTCCGTGCGGGTTTCCACAAACATCGATCCCCCCTCTACCTGATATGAAGTCGCTGTTCAGCGGTTACGTGGACTCAAAGCCTGGCCATCTCTTTTCTCCTCTTCTTCAACTTTCACTGCGCTCATCGTGCCCGTATGGCGTCCTCCCGAGCCCCGAAAAAACTAAAAAAAAACCCGTCTCTCCGCTTCAGTCCGTGTATCCTGCGCCCCCGCCGCGCCTCTCTCATTCTGTGCTCCAACGCCGCGTCGCTTTCTCTCCCCGCACAACAAGCATATCCGGTTTTTTGGAGTGATTACGGCACCAAAAATCTGTTGGAGAGGAGTTGATGTCGCATGTGGGCTGGACACTGTTTGGTTTCCATCTGGTGACAGCAGCAGAGCCGTGCAGTGTGAGGAAGTGTTGTTTTTTTTTTGTTTCTTTATGAGGAAGGGTTTTTCAGTGACGAGTTATGGAGGGGCAGGGCGGGCTGAACATTGTCCCTTTGCCTGTTTGGGCAAGCTGTTTGAGAGAAATATATGTATGAGCAGATAAACTGTGCAAACACACACAAAAAAGCAGAGTGTTGAGCTGATGTGGAGCTCTGCTGGGGGTGGAGCAGGATAGTCTTCACAAGCCTACAGGAGTGGGGCTATAGGAGGAAATGACTGGCTTAATATTGTATGGATTATGAAAAAGCAATGCCTCAAAATTTGCAACTATGGACTAAATCTGCCTTCATCCTGTTTCTCTTAAACTTCTTCAACTTGAACTTGTAAATATCTCTTTAAATGTCCCTGTAACCATCTACTGCTACTACTCTTTTCTCTTCAAATCTGATCACCTATATTAAAAGTATCCAAAAATGTACCACCCCCACCCTATTAGGGCAACAGTGTGTACTGTGGGCATCAAAACAACTGGATTTTTCTTTTTCTGTAAAACAATTAATAAAAACAATTTTAATACAAATAGTTGTTTTTGCTGTCTTATTTTTTGTGAGGTGAAAATGCTCTTTAAAGATTCCCTAATTATTAATCATTTTTCATAATCTTGAAAAGAAGCAGTTGCAGTCGGTTGTAAAACAGAGAGGGGAGATCACATTTCTGCACTCTGCCTATGAAATACAATATACAATATTTGGGTGTCTCTCTGTTATTATCTCCTGCTCCTTCATATTCCACCCACTGCTAAATGTTTTACACTATCATAAATGGCAAATATCAATCACTCTTGGTTTATGAGTGATAATTTGGCTCTAGAGCTGACAAACCTACAGAACTGCCTTTCAAACCCGATGGTGGGATCTGTTCTCACTCACCGTCCTCACAATCAGCATCATGAAGCACTCCGTAAAGTTCCTTTCATATCTTTAGACTATAAAATATATCTGTGCCCATTATTACCTGTGGTTATTAGTAGATAATAAAAACACAGACTACAGAGTGATCATTTTACTTCATACTTACTCCATCGTTTGTGTGACAACTTTAAGGACTTCTGGTCCATGTTGGGTTGAAAACTGAGGTTCAAATGCCATTTGTTGAGCTTGGAAACACCAATTGAGAAACCAGTCTCATCACAAATAGGATAAAATGCTCTGAAAAAAAATCCATGTCAGCTGGGAAAACTCCCATCTTCTGATGAAAATCATGTGAAATGATCAAAAGCTCCAGAGCAGCTGCTAAATGGACCTCATGAAGAGATTATTTTCCTCCTTATACTGCATGTACATGCATGTCCCCACACCTAGGAGGCTGGAGCTACATGTTATAACATTGAAACCCAAGACACAGTGGCTGCATCATTACCTCAGATTGAGATATTCTGAAGTGCTGTGCATCATTTCATCCA